TCAGTGCTTCGTTCGGTGCAGTAAAAGGTAACAGATGACGTCATAAGCTCTTTCCACCAGTCACCAGCACACACAAACAATCTCCCAACCCACCCAAGACAGTAAACAATGAGATAATAACGATAGACAGACAGAACACCAAACAAGCGGTGAATAGCCTCCAGTGATAGGAAATTCCAATCCAGCTGCGAATAATATTTGGTTTGTGGGTTTTATTTGGGGTTTAGTGCTTGTTTTATGTCTGGGGGAGTAAATGGAGTGTTAAATTACTAAACCTGGAGTGTAAGGGGACAGGTGGTGGTGTGACAAGAAAAGGTGGTGAGAAGGGACAGGTGGTGGTGTGGAAAGGTGGTGGTGGTGGTGTGGGGGGTTGGAGGCATACACGCATACTTGAACGACGCTGTTTGTCTGTATATCGCACGTCCTGGGAAAAAATAAACATAAACATTCTCTGAGATAAGAAACAGTCCACTTTTGCAGACATCAATCAACAATAATCAGACGCCAACTAGCATGACGAGCGATGGTAGAGACCAGGCGACCTTATAGAGTGTGGGCAAGAACCTCCGCCGCGGCACACAACAAACGCCAGAGCTGTAACTCAGACCAATGATGCCAGTTAATGGAGACTACTGAACTCTTGCTGTTATATATCCACAATCCATCTCTGGTCACGTATCTGGTATGCATTCAAAGAGATTACATTCCCGAAAAGATACACAGGCAGACGGATATACGAACGGATGTAAAATGCATTCCTGAGTCCACTTGACTGGAATATATTCACAGATTTATGTCCTGGTTCAAATGCGTTCGTATGGTGACTGCTCATCGTATCAGAAGATGTAAAAAAGCTAACTGGATGAGCATTCGAAAAACAACATTAATATCCATAAATAATATAAAATGACATTGATAATCTACCTTAACTACTAAAAATAATTAGTAACAGGGAAAAAATAGAGATATTTTTCTTAATATTTTCTGGGGCTTAAATTTGTCAGGCGTTAAGTGTATTGATTTAAAATAAGAATATAAATGTATTTTGTATTATTATTGGCTATTATATGTGTGTTTAGGAGTAATCAACACATTTCATGTTACCAGGAATAACAACGGACGGAACCTATGTGTGTATCCAGGCACTGAGCTTTACTGTACACTTATCTTTACCCTGAAGTGAGGTGTACAGACCACCTGTCAAAGTTCATGGAAGGCTTAAGGCATTCCATCAACTATTTTTTCAAATATAACCTACTGTCAAAATCACTGTATAATGACATAATCATTTACAAATATAAAAAGTCATCCTTTGACAGATACCTGATTCACCGTCTGGCGTTCTTTAATCACGGGAAAACAAACTTGTAAAAAATATTTAGAATTTTTGGATATATCTGTGATTTTTCTCTACCAATATCAATACAAATTTCATCATTTACGTGCTAGTATTTTAGTGACTTGTGAATCAGCGTCTTAGCCTTATACAATGACAACTTATAAGAACATAAGAAAAATAAGAAGAGTCTGTAGAGCCGGTTGGCCTGTGCGCCAGCAGCTCCTGTCAAAGGTTACCACTCTCTATCATCCATGAATCTATCTAGCCTCCTTTTTAAAACTTTCCAGAGTTCCCCTTACTACTAAAGTTGCCCAAGCTTGTTCCACTCGTCCACCACCCTATTTGTGAACCAGTTTCTTCCTATCTCCCTCCTAAACCTAAACTTATCCAACTTGAATCCGTTGCTCCAAGTCCTATCCTGCTCGGATATTATAAGAACTTTATCTATATCCCCTTTATTGATTCCTTTCACCCACTTAAATACTTCTATCATATCTCCCCGCACTCTTCGTCTTTCTAGGGAATGCAAGTTTAGTGACATTCCCACGAGGTTAACTTCTATACAAAATCTCAATAAGAAATTTGGTACAATACTCGGACGAAAGCTCAGAAGGACAGAACCAATCTCTATAACCCCACCAACCCAGATCAACCTAACCCAAATCAATCCAACCCAGATCAACCCAACCCAGATCAACCCAACCCAGATCAACCCAACCTACCGTACTTAGACATAGCTGACAGGCTGCCCCAGAGCTAGTAAGGCTAAAGAAGATTTATATTATTCGTAAATAAAAAGTGTAGGGAGAGATAAGCTAACGTTGTCAATTTTACTCATCGAGGCGCCCCCTTAAAAAACTGTGTTGATATTTGACGTAGGATAATTTGGACTGATCAAGATTATATAACAGGGAACAAAAAACCTTGTGGCAGGGGAGGGAGGGTGAGGGAGGAGGGAGGGAGCAGGGGAGGGTGGGGGGAGAGGGAAGGAGAACAGGGAGGGAGGGGCAGGGGAGGGAGGGGCAGGGGAGGGGGCAGGGAGGGGAAGACAGTAGGTGGTGAGGGGTAGTAGGGAAGACGCCTCACAAAGGGACAAGGTGGACGACTCGGGTACTTGGTCCATAAAATCAACATTAATATCCACGGTCGAGTCTTGTGTTAATGGAATCACCTGAAGATCAAACTCCAGTGTACTTCACCTGATGATGAAACAGTAATGCTAACCTAACCTAACCTCCCTCCCAGGTAAAGTCAGGGTCTGGATACTCCACACCTACATAGCGTCTGGATACTCCACACCTACACAGCGCATCATGATTGTACCGATATTACGGAAACTAAGAATGCAATCTTCCTTATTACCTGTTAATTACTGTAATTGACCTGTGGGAGTTAATGAGATATTAAATAATGATCAAACTATTATTATTATTATTATTATTATTATTATTATTATTATTATTATTATTACTTGAATAATCATTATTAATTTTATTTTAATATAACATCTCTCGGAAGATTACCAAGTGGACGCTGTTAAAATTGTTAAAATTATTACGTGCAAATTACCATCCACTCAAGAAGTATGACCTTCCTCTGACAATACTACCTTCCGTGTTCCGTTTATGGCGGAGCAAAATACAGGAAGTCCTGACAGATCTGTAAAAACTGACATTACAAACTCATACTGGCGACTGACTGTGTATGAACGATAGAACGAAATAATAAGCAAAGTAAAGTCACGTACAGATGTTGACTCACAGGTATACGAACGCTCATTATTATTGTTATTTACATCTGTTAAAAACGCGTACGTATGATCGGTTATTCTCTGGTTAAAGCAAAAGAGAGAATCCCGTTTTCTTTCATGCCTTTCACAAAACAAGAAAAAAATCAATTTAAAAATAACACGATGGGAAAATTTTCATCATGACAATAAGGATTTTTTTTTAGTAATTCAGATAACTTGTAAATATCATCCAACGACATTTCTGTTTTGTTTTGTCAACTAACGAGTGAACTGTGACGTCATGGGTCAATGTTTGCAATGATGAAAATAATAGGGAGTAAATTTACCCACATGTCTCCTCCTCCTTTCCCGCCCACCACATATAAAAAATAACAATCCATCAAATTTGCACTGAACCTAAAATGGGTAAATTTCTGTATACAACGAGAGAGAAAGAGAAGAAAGAGAGAGAGAGAGAGAATATAAGAGAATAACACAGATGGTAAGAGAACTAAGGAGACACTCGTCACATTAAAACATGAGAGAAGAACACAATTAACTTGATAAACATTACTAATTATGTGATGACTTTATCTTACGTCACCACACCGTGCAATATGAAAGGACACACTGTAAGATAAACTCAAGAAAAAAAACAACTCTCAAACGCTACTCTGTACTTAAAAATAAAGAAATTGCGTTACAGAATCATAAACTTGGCCTTGAGATTAGTATGCATCAGGGGGTGGTTGGTTTGCACACTCTATACCCGACGCGGTGGTGGCCTGGTGGGGGTCAACGAATATTGCGGTGCAGTAGGACATGACCTCCCTCCGGCGCAGCTGTGACCTGGCGCACTGTTCATTTCCATCTCTCTCTCTCTCTCTCTATCTATCTATTCTGCCTTTCTTCCTTTTTATCTTCTCTTTATTTGTTATTATCTCTTCCCTTCCTTCAATCTCTCTCTCTATCTCCCTCTCTCCTCCTCATATTTCTTCATCTCTCCTTCCCGTCTTTGTGTAAACACCAAAGCTATCCTCCCTCACATCTATTCACTAGCTGGCACGTCTTAACATTCCTGGTTCGTGGAGTTGAGAAACAGGTGGGTGGGTGGGTGAGTGGGTGGGTTTGGTGAGTGGGTGGGTGGGTGAGTGAGTGGTCAGTCTTAATGGGCCCTCTGTCTTAATGGTTAGATTGGGGCCTATTAGGACCTAGGTCAAGTAGTTATCAACACCCTACCTAAATGGACCCCCTAAATACAATGATTAGGATGATTACGTTAGATTAGCTTGGGGTCTATTAGGACAGGGCCCATTTAACCTTTAGCCATTGGGTCAAAGCAGGAATGTTGGTATATGTCAACACCCATTTGTGTTTATACTATACAATGCCCCACCCCACCTCACCCCACCCCGGTGCCCAACCTCCAGTGCCCACATCAACCCAGTACCATCAACCCCCACTACCCACATCAACCTCCAGTACTCTCATCAACCTCCAGTACCCACATCAACCTCCAGTACCCATATCAACCCCAGTACCCACATCAACCCCCACTACCCACATCAACCCTCCAGTGCCCACATTAACCTCCAGTACCCATATCAACCCCAGTACCCACATCAACCCCCACTACCCACATCAACCCTCCAGTGCCCACATTAACCTCCAGTACCCATATCAACCCCAGTACCCACATCAACCCTCCAGTACCCACATCAACCCCAGGCACCACATCAACCCCCACTACCCACATCAACCCTCCAGTGCCCACATTAACCCTCCAGTACCATATCAACCTCTCAGTACCACATCAACCCCACTGCCCACATCAACCCTCCAGTGCTCATGACAACTCTGTGTTCAGATTAAACTTTAGTACTCACATCAACCTCAAGCCATTTCCATGACTGAATTCTCCAGTACCACATCAACCTCCAGTACCTACATCACGTCCCCCACCACCACATCAACCCTCCAGTGCCTAAGCATTAACCTCCAAAATGCAACAACCAGTAATTTCACATCAACCCTCTAGTGTGTCACACCACCCAGGTACTCACATACATCAACCCAGTACTCATATCAACCCTAGTATTTCACATCAACTCCCACTCACACCACATCAACCTCCAGTGGCCTACATCAACTTCAGTACTCACATCAACCCCCTACTACTCCACATCGAACCTCCATGCCCACATCAAAACACCTTAATTGATTATCACAACCAACACAACAACAGAAAGGTGCTTTAACAGTTTTTTTATCAATCAAAGGTAAATAAAAGACGGTGTTAGTTCAGTACAACTGGCTCATTGCAGAGCAACGCAAATGCTTGAGACTCTGATACCACTGACTTTGATAGAGATGTAGGGGTGGGGAGCGGGGAGAGGGGATGAGGGGGAGGGGGGGATGGAGGGGAGGGGATGGAGGGGGGGAGGGGGGATGGAGGGGAGGGGGGATGGAGGGGAGGGGGATGGAGGGAGGGGATGAGGGGGAGGGGATGGAGGGGGAGGGGGAGATGGAGGGGGGGGGATGAGGGAAGGATGGAGGGGTGTCACACTAATGGTAAAGTAATTCCACTGATGCATATATATATACATAAACATAGACGCACGCACGCACGCACGCACGCACGCACACGTGCCACACACACACACACACACACACACACACGCACACACTACATTGAGACAGTGTAAACCTTTGCGTCTGAAGGAGGAGGAAGGAAATTTACACTATATGTACGTATTTATTCCTGATAACACAAGTACTTAGGATAGTAGGTTACGATGACCAACAGGTTATAAGAGAATGTCTGCTTCTTATAGACAAAATGTCGAATATAAGTAGGTATACATCCTCAAAGTCCAAGGCATCATGTTTACAGTCACGAGCAAGTTATATTTTAAATGACACAGTGGGAGTGAAGTATATCAAGCTCAAGTTTCACTGATATCTGATCTCCGACACGCTTCTGTTGACACTACACGTCTGACGCATATCACACACGACAATTCCAAGAGCTCTGTGATAAGATGTACGACTAACAAAAGATGAGAGTGACATGATAAAAAAGATCTTCAAGTGTGGGAACATCAGCTGAACTTCATCGGGGTGTTGACCGTGAAGGGCAAGAGAATAAGGAATGTGAAGATACAAAATAACGCACAGGAGACGAATCACGACAAGTTTCGCCTACCAGGGCTGAGGATTTGGAGGACTATTAAATGATTGAGGCGATGGGGAGGAAGACATCAGTGGGCTGTAAGATGAAGAATGCCGCCGTCCCTATCTTGGGGTAGAGTCAGTAACGATGAACGTCTATAATTCATTGCGATTAACATTTGAGACGCAGGGATCTTGGTGCCCCGGAGTGGTGAGACGGTGAACAGGTAGTGGGGTAGATCTTCCTGAAATAGTATTAAGAGACTCATGATTCTAGGCAAGGGTTTAAAATAAAGTCTTATATGCTGAAATTATGTTAAATCATTCGGAACTTTTAGTTCTTAAGGACAAAACACAAGTAAAATATTGATTTACTGTGACTTTTGACAATATTTATCGCCGTTTATGCAGAAGACTGATAAGAGTTACATTGAGTGAGCCACGAATATTGACAGAGTTATTTGTTTATTGTGGCATTAATATAATTTATATTAGACAGACGTGATGGACGAGCTGTGAAAGTGATGAACAGTGTTTGGACGCAAGAAGTAAACATTGATCTTATCAGCAAACATTATTCTTCACTTTCACACTCATTCTCCTTCACGACTAACTGCTAAACATACAATGGTGACGGTACAAGGTGTGCCACAAGGTTTGGTGTTGTGACTTTCATAATGCCTTGGTCATGAGGATAAGTTATGGGCCAAATTAAGCTAGAAAAGGACTTATTTGTAGCCAGCATGGCCCCCCCCCGCCTGAGGTACAAGGAATGTCCACCAGCTGCAGCCGAGGTGGATCTTACGCCTCTCTACCTGTAGGGGAAGTCGACGATATCCATGTCCAAGGTGAGTGACAAACTGTTTATAATTTCCAATAGTAAAGTCAATAATAAAATGAAAATTTATCATGGGAGAGCCCTAGGGGGTTCAGCGCTTCCAACAGCCTCTCGTTATTGGGATAAATATTACTAAAATTTAATACCACACAATCTCTTAGGTACCGATGAGCTGCTGACTCAAGTGTGAACGGTTCTGGTATTATGAAACAACACAACCACGCGCTGAACAATTCTACCTTTACCATAGACCTTTACAGTCGTCCTCTACGTGATAGGCGGGTGAGGGAGACGTGATACTTGGACTAGTGTGTTGAAGGGGAGATGAGGCTTCCTGTCACCAAGTTCTCCGTGTGTCTGAGCGTCCTGTGAGGAGTTAAAACCTCCAACACCTCCAAAAGTATGTAGTGCCGACTTATTTGAGTAACACATCTGTCGACACTTGGTGGAAAAAAATAATCATTTTCAGGCCACGTGTTGCATCACTTGTCCTCCAACGATTTCCAACTAAAATTTAAATAGACAATAATGTTGACCTCAATATCCGATTCCTCGCACTCTGAAAGATGGTCTTTAATGTTTCCTCGTCTTCAAAAATTATTTATCAAGCAAAGGATAAAATAATAAAAAGACGCCTAATAAATTTTCTCCCACAGTAAATTTCTCAACCTTTATTAATTTCGTCGAAGCTCACCCAGCGAGGAGCGTCCAGCACAACTCTCTTGTTTAATGTATCTTATGTGTATGGAAAGAAAATCTATATAATCTAATTCTTGACTGTATAGAAACTACTGAGCCACGAGTTCATTGTCTGAATTAGAATAAAAACTGACTCTCCAAATTATTCTATTTCGCCTTAAAAATTAAATAAATGGACATGTTTTGATTGTTAGTTGAAAAACCCGGCAAAAATACCCTGAAGGCTTAATAAACATCTTGCATGAGTCGACAGAGATTCTCTCTTTATCAGCAGCCATAAAAATTATGTTATGACGCTTGTGAATGTTGGTGAGGGGCTCCAGGCTCACCTCTCACGCCACACAAACTTTAAGCTAAATATTCTGAAGGTCTTGGGGAGGAGTTTGTATCCGGGTGACACCTTGGGGACCGGTCAAATGGGCCCCAGCAGCACCAACCTACCCAGTTATAATGGGTTCTAGTCCAATGTGAGCCTCAGTCATGCACCAGAATATAAGGTATCAACCCACTCTACAGTATATATGTTGTCTTAAGTGTTTCTTTAAGAGAGCAACAGCCCTCAAAAGGCTGAGCCATTTAATATTAGTCTACGTTACTGTACTATTTTCATCAATATATTATCTGGTTCAATAAAGGAATTCACTCGCTCATACGCCGCAAGCATTATGGTCATATAAGGTCAGATTAACATGACTACTGTTAAGGGGGCGTCCTCCTTCAGGTGGGCAGCCTCACCCGGTCCACAGTACCTCCCCGCCGTATACACAAATGAGGAGCTCGGCGCCAGGACTGGTTGTGGTGACGGTGGAGTGTCTTTAACGGTGCTACTGCGGCACTGACCGCTCCAACTCCCTCACCTGATGATGAAGTGGACAGCCAACAGTTTATAGTCCCGCTTTGAATATTGGACGCTGCCCCCCGCACAGTTACTCACAGATGCATCCTATTATTATTATTATTATTTATTTATTTATTGATCACCACCACGATGATTGCCAATAACAAAGCCAATTTATATTCCTGTATGGATATATATATATATACACAGTATACCCACAAATTTAATACACGAACCAAAAATAAATTATCGAGTGAAATTTAGGTCTTTAAGCACGTAACAGATTCTTTTTAGAATAAAATTAAACAACCCCAGTTGGAGGCCTCGGCTGTGTCGGAAACCAAAGCAGCAGTGCGTCCCAGGTGTGTTCTTGTAATTAAGGACCATCATGACTTTGACCTTCTGACCTCAGTCATAAACACAGGCACTACAAAGGTTGGTTTGGCTAACAGACAAAGTTATTGTACATATATTCTTGCTTTGTTCGGCGTGGATGTAAACATTATACGACCATGCGCGTGCCCGCACACACATGCATGCGCGCACAGTGTTAATCTGCAGAAAATTTCTTAAATTCAAGGATAAGTGAGCCACATCTTGGTAAGTGAGTGACGTTTCACGGTAAGACGCACATCTCGCCCCAGGGAGAAGGAGAAACACACCACAAGATAACACAAACTGACGGTCAATCTAAGAAACAAATATAATCAATGTAGTAATTTATGAAGATGACCCAGAGGTTATTACACCATGGAAAATAACCAACTTTAATACTTTCATCAAAATGTAATAAAAAATCGAGAATAATCTGTAAGTTTTCTTCAGTGACATACACCACCACATGTTACAGTCATACAACACCTTTAAAACAGATTTGCTTGTATTCTTGTATTCTACCGTTTAAATTAATAAGTATTTTATAGTAGTTTTAGAAAGTGATCAATTAGTCCCCTTCACTAGTGCGTTTACAGGAGGTCGTCAGGTTTTGTGCAGCCCTTTGTTTGTTTACATTCAACAGAAGGAAACTCGTAATAATAAAAATACTATGGAATCAAAGTAAAACATTATTAAAACAAATACCTCAATGTAATAATTTGTGTAATGTTTATATGATGACAAACCCCTGTAAACGCACGAGTGAAGGGGACTGTATAGTACACGTGATCAACACCGTCTTTTGAGTTACAGGTTTCTTCCACTCTGTTTACGCAGTAGAAACCCATTAACCGGTGACTTAAAACAATCCTGGAGGCAACAACTTAAAGACCAGAGCCGGTGGTTATTCGTGATGTAGTTCCAGACTCAT